ATGGTCCCGGGTTGAACTTCTTTATACAGACACAAAACTCAATTTCATGCTCCTTTTTGTATTCTATTCCATATCTTATACTATTTTACATTTTCTATATAGTTTTTCCCCTCTTTTAATTTTCTCAATTTTATTTTGATTATCTCATCTCAATTCAAATCATTATATTTATACTTTTGTCTGTTCTGTTTCAATTTCATATTATCTTTTCTCATTAAACAAATTTTCTCCTGTAGTTACTAATTGGAGTATGACACCGTTATATCTTTTAATTACATCCATTCAACTCTTATTTAAACTTCAATATATACCTTAAGTTTATGACCTTCAATATAATACATAATACATAACTTCCAATCGAATTCTGCTTGTACATTCTTATAATACACACTATATTCTTTAAAAAAAAAGATTGTAAATATATGTAATTATAAACCCTCATTCCATTCCAGTTCAGTTCTATCATTATCATTAAAATCTTAACATCTTTAACACTTTTCAATTAAATATCATACTTCCTTAAAAACACATATAATCTCCATAATTAATTTTTCCCTTATTTCTCTTCACGTTTTATAAATCATTAAATATACCTTTTGTTACATTTATTTGACAAGCATTCCGCTGAATTACGATAGCTATTTTATCAGACATTTTAATCATACATTGTTTCATATTTTCTAAAATTATTTCTGCTTCTAATATAACCATACTATCTTATGTACCTTTGCAGAATCCCTTTTTCCATTAAGTTTTCACCCATTATCTCTAAATAGGCCCTGTTTCTCTATATTTTGCTTCTGTCCTTTATAACTTCTTTTCCTTTCTTTCTTCCCTCTCATCTTCTCCCTCCCCTTGTCTCTCTAGTTCTAATTATCTCTTCTGCATTTCCCTCTTCTGTTGCTTTCTGATTTTATACTTATTTTTCACTCTATTTTTTTTTTGGAGTTGTTTTTCCCAATCTTAAACTTTCCATTCTCTTTTCCCCCTTTCCTTTTTTCCCCCCATCTAGGATTACTTGTTCATTAAAGATGGCTTCTTCTTTCTCGCAATCTTCTTGTTCTGCAGGCATTTCTTGTTGTTTCTCATAATTCGAAATCTCCATTTCTAAAAACTGAAATACGAAACCAAAAGAACCTCTCCCTTCTTGTGCATCTTCTTTGTACTTTTTAAGTTCCATTTTCAGTTCTTCTAAAAGTGGAGCCATTTTAAACAGTTTTAAACAACCACCCGATTGATTTTAGTCATTCAAAACAATAACCAAGAATCCAGAAATCATCAAGTAATCCAGATAGTCCCGAGTTATATCTTCTTATTTCTTTTTCGACTCTCTCTTCCTGGGGTTTTTGTTGCAATATTTCAGTTAGAATGTATCTTTTGGAAGTCTTGTTGAGATTTTGCTGTAAGTTCTTTTTTAATTTCAGGCAGTCTCCTCCCTTCCAGATCCTGCCCTTTTATTCTTTTTCTCTCCTTTCCTGTTTTCAAAAGCTTTTAATTATCCAGAAATCTTTATTATCCCTTTGATTTTTTATTTTCAGCATTAAATGCCTATTGATGTCAAAGTGGATTTTTTTCCAATTTCTTGCTTAAGTCTCTTAGCGGTCAGTATAGGAAAAGGAGAAAACCAAATCTTTTCCCTTTTCTCTCTCCTTCGCAGCTTAAAAATCTTCTTAGGGAACAATGTTATTGTTTTTTAACAGTTTCATTTCCAGGGTACCTTATTTGTTGCTTTTGCTGTTTGACCCGGTCAACCAAAACTTTCTCTTCTTATCTTCCTCCTGCACATTCTTTTCCGGTCGAGTTCTTCTTTGTGGTGGCCATTTCTGACCACTGCTACAACCGCCTTCGGGAAAGGGAGTAATGGCCAGCTGTGGAGGAGAGATGCGGCTCTCCTCAACCCTGCTGGTGGTCTCGCCCCTCTTCACCACCTCTACGGGGTGGCTTAGCCCTGAAACCAGCCGGCTCAGGGTGCTCCAGCGGTGAGCACAGATCGAAGCCTCGCAGAAACGAGGTTTTGGTCTGTCGCTGAAGAAGCTCAAACCAGAAGTCTATAAATAGCTGTTTTTGTCTTTCCACGTTACATTTAGCAACAAGGACTATCTTTTCAAAGGTCTATGAGATATTCAGAGCCATTTTTCTTAAAAAGCATGGTAAACTGAGCTTTAAAATTAAAAAATTCTCCCATGAACAAGCTAGCTCTAAATCAGACACAACAGTATCACTATTATATACCCAGGAACCCATGTATGCAACAGGGAACCTAAGAAATAAGAACAGATAATGAAATCCAAGTATGCTGAGATCAGGTAATATGAAAGACATGGTGTTCCTGGAACTCAGTTTCATCTTCTAAAAGGGACGAGGAAAAATACCAACCTGACTTATCTTGCAAATCATCCAGCCGCTCTCCTCTCTCTATCACCTTGGTGATATTTTCTTGCATGACATCAATAACTTCATCAACCTGGTTTTGAACTCTGGGTTAAAAATATACATAAGGATGCATCACATGACCAAGGAATTTGTCATCAATACCAGAAAATGCTACTGAACTGATATCCTGCAGTCTAGATGCTGAGTGGGAATGATAGGAGTTGTAGCCCAATTTATTCAACAGCTCTGAATCTGAATTGAGTGTGATATAGTTAATATCAAATATTTTTAGTGTGCAAAGTCTTTAAATTCTTTATATAATGGTTAAAGAATATACTGTAAATAGCAACATGTCAATTTGTTTTTCAAATAGGCATCTGAATTGATAATTATCTGCCCAAGTCCAATATGGAATCGCAAGGGTCCTCTTTGTAGACTTCAGTTCAGCATTCAATACCATCATTCCAGACATTCTTCTAACTAAACTAAACCAGCTAGCAGTATCTGAACACACTTGTAAATGGATCATAAGCTTCCTAACAGACAGGAAGCAGCAGGTGATGCTAGGCAGAATCACATCTGATAACTGTACAATTAGCACACACACACACACACCCCCGCCCAAGGCTGTGTGCTTTCTACACTTCTCCCTGTATACCAATGACTGCATCTCAAATGATCCATCTGTTAAAATACTGAAGTTTGCAGATGATACAACAGTGATTGGTCTCATTGAAGACAATGACAAATCCACATACAGATGGGAGGTTGTACAACTTGCCTCGTGGTATGAAATCTGGAACTGAACACACTCAAAACCATAGAAATGGTGGATCTGGAACTGAACACACTCAAAACCATAGAAATGGTGGTAGGTTTTAGGAGAAACCCTCCCATACTACCATCTCTTGCAATACTAGACAACACAGTATCAACAGTAGAGACCTTCAAATTTCTAGGTTCTATCATATCACAAGACCTAAAATGCACACCTAACATCAAAAACGTTATCAAAAAAGCACAACAGAGAATGTTCTTTCTGTGCCAATTCAGAAAGCTCAAACTGCCCAAGGAGCTGCTGATACAGTTCTACAGAGGAACTGAGTCTGTCATCTGCACCTCTATAACTGTCTGGTTTGGTTCTGCAACCCAACAAGTCCCAGACTCCAGAGAGTAATTAGGACTGCAGAAAAAACAATTACTACTCAGGACCTGTATACTGCACGAGTCAAAAAGAGGGCTGTGAAAGTATGTATAGACCCCTCACATCCCAGACATAAACTGTTTCAACTCCTACCCTCAAAGCGATGCTACAGAGCACTGCACACCAGAACAACTAGACACAAGGACAGTTTTTTCCCCAAACGCCATCACTCTGCTAAACAAATAATTCCCTCAACACTGTCCCAACTATTTACAAAGTCTGCATTACTATTAATCTTCTCATCACTCATTGCCCATCCCCTCCCACTTGTGATTGTATGACTGTAACTTTGTCACTTGTATCCTTATGCTTTATATTGACTATTTCCTAATATGATTTGATTGCTTATTGTACCCTATGACTATTATTAAGTGTTGTACCTTGACTCTTGACGAATGTATCTTTTCTTTTATGTACACTGAAAGAATTTGCACCAAGACAAATTCCTTGTGTATCCAATCACACTTGGCCAATAAAGAATTCTATTATTAAGGCAGAACTTGAATTGAACTCAACTTATTGAATAAATTGAAAAAGTTGCAAGTAAGCATGTAAAGAATATATATCAAAGTATAATACTTGTTAGATCCCCACTAACCACACTGTTCATCCTTTCTTGAATTCTCAAGTGCACATTTATGCCCACAATAGTTTCACAAGCAATATTTTAGATATTCTGGCACCTTTGTAGGTAAGAATAAGAATCTTGAATTGTGACTAAAAAAAAAGCAATTAGAATGGCTGTTGCGAAGCTAATATAAAAATAGACTTATTCACTTCAATGATGTCATCTTGCTGCTACACCCTTGTATCCCTTTTAGTCTTCACAAACCCAAATCTGTGTCTCCTTCAGTTATAAAATGTTTGCCCTTATCTGATATATGTAAAAACAAATATATAGCTTTCATATATATGGAAGCAGTTAAAAAAGAAGCAAAGAAAGGCAGTTAGTGATTGTTTTGTTTAGCAAATGTTCAGTTATGCCAGTGACATAACTCTGCAACTATTCCTTGCATTTACGACCATTGTAGGTTTGTAAAACAAAGAAATATCAAAACAGTCACAGATCAGTTAGCAGCCACTCCGCTTAATAACTGAGTTGTCACAACTAAACAAGGACTACTGTACCTGTATTTCTAGAAGGCCGTGGATTCTGTTCTGCGTTATAGTAGATACAGTATATAAGATGCTGGCTCAAGGGAAATAAATTGAAAAATGTGCAATGAAGGAGGATAGTTTTGCTAATCCCCAACAAAAGGAACTATTAATTAGGACTTCACCAAAGCATATAGCATAAATTCCTATTGTTACTCCTGCATAACTGGTAAAGTTGATTATTTTCCTACTTTTAATTAATTTTCCCTACCACTTTGAGTCTATTTATTTATATTCTCCTGTGAAATTGTATACTGAGAAGAATGTGTGTATAAAGATAGAAGAGGGACGTTGTCTAAATGATAAATTTTAAAATATTAAAGTACTGAAAGAAATGGGATTTTTCCAAAATACAAGGTTCATTATTTTATGAACAGGTAGTCTAGGAAACAGTAATTCAGTTCACCTGATAAAGTATGATTGCAGAACAGTTAAATTAGTGGGACATGAAAATTAAGCAAAAATAGATTTCACTTGCCACAAAGTACTTACTGTCTGATCTTGTCATTCTTGGGTCCAAACCTTGGACCTGATGGTCCTCTCCTACAAAATGATTAAAGTTAAATTGTTACCTTTATTTCCCAGAATGAGTGACAAATAATATGGCTGATTAATGGACGGCTGTTTGAAATTTGAAAGCATTCAGAAGAAACAGCCCAATCCTGGAAGCTCTGTAAAGACATCTGGCAGAATTTTCAGCCTTACACTGAAGAGTTCATAGTAGCTATTACTGACAATCACAATAAGTTGTGCAATACTTTGCCTGGCATTTATAAGGAACCCTTGAGATCAAAGCACATAGAACAGGCAAAAACAATGGTGCATGAGACCTAGGATTTGATGGTTATCTCTAGTCTGGTTTGGAAACACTTACAAGAAAAAGTCCTCTTCTTCATCTGAATCTTCCTCTAGGAGGTTTCTCTGCAAACACAGAAGATTGATACATGGATGAAAAAGAATATTTCTACTAATGGGTATTTTTATTCAAAAAGGAATTTCAAAAGAATATTTCTAGACTGAAAAATTAATTAATACAACTTTTGTCAGAATGTAATGCTGACACAATGTATGGCAGTCATCTCCAACCTCCTTGGCACCTGGGACCAGTTTTGTGCAAGACCATTTTTCCATGGGCTGGGGCTGGGTGGGGAAGAGTGCACAACCTAGATAACTCTCATGCTCGGTTTATGGTAAGGTTTGTGCTCCTGTGAGAATCCAATGCCTGATGATCTGAGGTGGAAGTGGGGCAGTGATGTGTGCCCTAGGGAGTGGCTGCAAATACAGATGAAACTTTGCTTGCTCACCTCAAACTATCCGCCCCAGTTCCTAACAGGCCATGGACCGGTAACTGGTCCATGGCCTGGGGGTTGGGGACCACTGATATGTGGTATCTGATATCCACAAAAAGACAATACAAGACAGAATCATTAGGTCTTCCTTTTGAATTATAAATCACGTATACTTGTGAATAAGCCCATCCATACATAAGCCTACTTTCAATTTTTTAATCAAAATGCCATGAAAAATGTGTCACCATAGATAAAATAACCTACATTTTTCAATGGTATTTTGGTTAAAAATCTTGAGGACTTGTTTATTTGAGGATACGCTTGTAAGTACAGATAGGAAATATGCGTACTTTTAAAAACTATTTCTGTATATACACCTGCGAATAAGGGCAATTTTGGGACGTATGTTGGCACCTAAAATTCTTGGTTATCTGCAAGTGTATATGGTGCTCTGAAAAATGGCTTTGAAAGGTAAAAATAAGAGTGCCAATCTTGGTTTTGTCACATACCTTATATAGTTTTGTTTTCAAGATTTTAATATATAATCTGTTTCATTGCTTTTGCTTAATATTCCTAGTTTGTTTTGCCAGAATTTCAATCTTTTCCCCTAGGATCTTTAAAAAAAAGAGACATTCCTTGGGTGAGGGGGAACTATCAACAGTTATCTCAATCTAACTGTACAAAATGTATACAACTCCCCTAATACCGTCTCATATTAAAGTGAAGACTGGTTTCATCATTCAACCAATGGTGGATTGAATGGACCCTGCAGGTCATGTCCCAACAAGGTCATGAATACAGAAAGGGGTTGATCTGAGTTCCAACAATTTGAGAAACAACAGCTGCAGGGAGTAGAACTTGCTTTTTTCTCCTTCTCCGTTGCTGGATGGTGAATGTTGAGGGGCTATAGTGGACTATACTTGGAAAATCACCACTTTAGACCTTTAACAGATCCTGCTATTCTTTGAAAAGTTCAGACCAATTTAGGTAGCAATACTATCCTATGTATTAAAAACTAGAGCTGGGGCTCTGTGGACTCTTCAATTTTTCTTGTAAGGAATGAGGTATTCCTCTATGCCTCATTACTGATAGTTCATCAACATCTTGAAAATCACAGGTTCATCAGTTCTGAATTTGCCCTAATGCCTGCCCACCTAGAATTTTGAAAGCAGGGAAATGCAAGTAGATAAACAGTGGGAAGGTAATAGGGACATGAAAGGAGCCCCCTCGGGCATCACCTGGGCAACAGTGATGTCAATGGCTAATCCTTACAATTCAGAAGCACCTTGGTAGATGCTTATGACACGGATGAGAGCTGCTTTTTAAAAATATTATACAACTCCTAGCAATTATTTCCAAGAATCTTCTAAAAGCATTATTAAAGCCATTTCACCAGCAGGCCACACATTTAAATCATACCACAATAACTACCCAAATGCACTCACCCTCTCACTTTTGATTGACCCAGTAACATCATCATCATTGAGGTGACGCTTGAATTTTGGAGGCATGTTTTCATAACAGTGCTATCTTTTTGTCCTAGTAGAAAAAAAAGATGACATTCTAGTCAGTCTATCAGGTTTTAGTTCTCAAATTATAAGACTTTAATGATTGGCTACAATGATTCCTGTATTTGTTCTATCCCACTAATAAGATAAATCATTACATGAAAGCAATATGAGGTCTGGGAATTTCCAGTATAGTTTGAAGAAACTTTTTATAATTCATGAATAATTTTATTTTTAAACCACTGCAGAAATATTGTTCAAATCAAGAATTAAGTTCAGGAACTTCCGGTTTGAAGGGCTTCGGCGGCGGTAGGAATCCGCGATCGTGCGCGGTTCCTGCTGCGCTCGCCGCTGGCGTGCCCCCGATCCAGCTGGATTTGGGGGTTAATAGTCACCCCGTAGAGGTGACTGAAGATAGAGGAGGCCCAGCAGGGGTCCGGGGGGATCGCAACCCCCCTCCTCACCTGGCTCAACTCCTTTCTCCAAAAGCGGTGGAGCGGCGGTCAGCAATGGCCGCCACAAAGAAACTTTCATCCGGATAAAGACTGTGCAGGAGGAAGCTGAGAAAGTGAAAGTTTTTGGCTGAACTGGGATAACAAGTAACATCTAAATACCCTGGAAATTCAACGTTTTTTTAAAGATACATTGTTCCCTAAGATGATCGTAAAAAAGCGGCGGAAGAAAATTTAAAATGAAAAGTTTTTTCTTTTCTCACTCTCCTTCCCTACAGAAATAGCAGAAGGAAATCGGAAAAACCCGTCTTGGCAACAGAAGGTAATTAAATTTGAAAAATAAAACCAAGGGGGCATTAAAGATTTCTGAACACTGGAATCAAAATTTAAAAATTCTTTTTTTTGCTATAAGTGGGAAGGGAGAGATAAAGAACTTATATTAAGATTTTGCTGGAGGAGATTGCTTGGAGCTTATAAGACCAGAGACAAACTGCAATAATACTTCAAAAAATACATTTTGGAACTTTGCAATTGATTCTACCCCAAGAAGAGAAAGTATAAAAAGGAGAAAGTGCTAAATGAAACAGTTTGTGTTGATTAGGGTTGCTTGGTGACTTTGGGACTTTTGGAAACTATTTTTTGAAAGACTAACTTTTGGGTTGTTTAAACATTTTTACAATGGCATCTGTTGAAGAATTGAAAATGGAATTTCAAAAGTTAAGAGAGGAGGAACAAGAAGGGAAGGGCTCTTCTGGATCTGTTTTTCACTTTCTGGAAATGACGATTTCTACCTACCAGGAATTACAACAACAAGAAAGTTGGGATGAAGAAGAAGAAGCCATCTTTGACGAACAAGTGACTTTGGTTGAGGAAGAAATGGGAAAGAGGGGAAAGAGAATGGAGAATTCAAGACTTAAAAAAACAACCAAAAAAGGGGAAAATAAGGTGAAAAATCGATACAATGTCAGAAAGCAACAGAAAAGAGGAATACAACAGAGAGGGGAGATTAAGAGGGTGGAGACTAAGAGATGGGGGAGTAAAAAGGCTAGATTGGACAAGAAAAGAAGGGAAAAAGGGAAGAGAAGTCACAAAGGCTTGAAACAAGATGTAAAAAAACAGATATTTTTCAGAGACAAAGGGTAAAATACAATTAAAAAGAAATTCTGCAAAAGCACACAAGATTGTATTGTAGTATTGTTGAAATAGAGTTAGAAAATTGGAATATTATATGATTTAATAAAATATTAAAGGGAATATGTAAAATGTTTAAGATTTAATGATAGAGTTTAATTTGCTTTGGATTATTGTTTCAACCATATTATAAACGTATTATTTTATTGTTTGTTTTTTTATCTGAAACAGTTAGAAAATTGGATCTTTATAGGATTTAACAAAATACCAAAATGCATAAAGTTTAATATACTATGGATTATTGTTTCAATTATATTATAAATTTATTACTTTCCTATCTTAAAATGTAGTAGGTAGTTTTAGAATGTGCTAAGCAGAATCAGAATGAGAATTATATATTATTCTAAGTGTTAAATTTAGGGGAATGATATAAAGGCATCATACTTCAATTAGTGATTACAGGAGAAATATTGTGTTAATAAGAAAAGAAAAATGGATGATTACAGAAGGGACAAAAGATATCAGTATAATGATCTAAATTGAGATGAAATAAAATAGAATTAAGAGAGTGAAAAGAGGGGAGAAGCCATATAGAAAATATAGAATGGTAAATAAGATATGAAATGGTATATAAAGTGAGCATGAATTTGATGTATGTCTGTACCAAAAGATGTAACCTGGGACTAGGCCGCTTTCCAAAAAGAAGTTTTATGTTTTCGTGTTTTGTGTTTTGTTTGTGTATGTTTATTGAAAATTAATAAAATTCATTAAAAAAAAAGAATTAAGTTCAGATTGTAAAATATATCCCTCTTCTAGCTATATACTAATTAAATCCCCATTAGTTCCTAAAGCCTTTTATGCATGCACAATAAATTTGGTAAAAAGATTCTAAAATATCAGTTATTGGTTTTGGTCCTATGAATGGAAAAGATGTAAAGGTTATTTTAAAATAATTTCTTCTATCCCACTAATAAGATAATATGCAACAATTCTTTAATCAGCAATACTGTCAAAGGGCTGGCTAGGAAAATAGTTTTCTATATACTGTTATATACTGTTTAAAACTGAAAGGGAAAGCCTTTTCAATCTACCATTAGTTCCAATTATGCTTTTGTACACCTAGAGACATCCTTAAACACTTGAGCAAGGACTATTTTTTAATCAGATCATTATTTGATAAATTTCATTTCCAAAAATGGTCAGATGCTTTAAGGAAATTTACAAAGCCTGAAAGTAACGCCTTTCCTACCAATACTCCCCCAGACCTTGTGTGCAGAATATGCCCTTGCTTTATTTCAAGTGTCCCCCAAAACACTGATGATGAGGCATCAAAATACCATTTGCAAAATATAAACTATCACGAACCATTACATTATTACTATCTCCAGTGCCCTGAATACTTTCAGTGAAAAGACAGCACCTCAATTTGCTCAATTACAGGTATCTCAGCATGGAAAGAAACATACTGTATGCTTTTGTGACCTACAATGGCCAGAGGCAGGGTGACTTAAGGACAACCCCATTTTTTCAATCTGAAGCTTAAGTAGCTTCAGGAATTCCATCTTCTTTAATTTGCACTGCCAACATGGAATGCAGCTTTACTGCTTCTGCCCAGTCTTCATTACACCTACTCCTACCATTCTTCTGTACACAAGTGTACACAAGCTGGCCGTTCCTATGTCTTTTACATATATTTCTATGCAAGCCTGCCTCTTTTAACATGTTTTAATGTAGCTTCCCTCTCCACACACACACCCCCTCCAAGCTCAGTGTCCCACCTCGAGGGCTTTTTAAAAAAAACTGCTCCTCTATGACTCCTTTCCTCTTCATCTCTCACTCGTCTCCAGCCGTCCATCCCGCTCTTCCCAAAAGCCCACCCGCGAGGCACTCGTCCTCTCCGGGCTTCGCAGCCTTGCTAGTTTCTTTCCCTATTGGCCATTTCGCCATTCCTGCCTCGCCCCCGGGATACTTGCTTTCTCTCCTCCCAAAGGGATCTTCGGCTTCCTCCCGCATCCGAAGTTTCCCACGAGCCAGCGCCCGCCAAACTCGAGAGCCTCCTCTTATCACCCGCCCCCCACCCTCTCCCCGCGCGCCTTTATTTATTTCCTCGCTCACCTGTTTCCCTTTCAGGCCGGTGCGGAAATGGCCGGTCCGAGGAAGAGGAGGAGTTGTCGTCGTCAGCTCCATCGATCGCTCGGCGCGCCTACCTCCTCAAGGGGTGGAGCCGAGCGCCCAGGATATCGATAAAGACGCCGGTGACGTGAGCCCTCTCGGCTACCGTAATAGCGATTTTCGCCCGCTGGGTGGCGATCTGAGCTGAAGCGGAAGGAAGACAGCGAGGTCGGCAGAACTGGGGGGTCTTTCATTTACAGCCTCCTTCTGACCAATGGAAAAGACCGCGCCTGTGTTAATTAAGGGCAAATGGGCCTACTACTCCCTTAAGCCTGGTTTGCTGAACTCGCCACGATCGGCTTGCGGTATACGAATCGGGTGTGCGGTTTCACTTGTATACCGACTAATAGTTACTGGTTTGAGCCCATGAAGGCAGAACACGCGGAAACAAATATAATGGCTCCGTTATCCATGTCTCCTTTTTACTTTAGCTCAGTTTTTAATAGTTTTTGATTTTTTAAATTTTGTTAATCATGATTTTTTTTAAAGGAATTCATTTTAACTTGTCAGCCGCCCGGAATCATTTGTTCTGTGAGATGGACAGCTATTCAAGTTTGTAGCATTATGATAGATGATTATTATTATTATTATTTTGGGGGGGGGGGGAGAGATGGGATATTATACAAGTGTTTAAAAAGTCATCTGGAATTCATCTTTTATCCTGAGTGAACATTTTAATATTTCACCACAAATTTCAGGAACAGTAAGACAAGACACACATCTTTAAAAAAAAAACTAGGTTTACTGAACATGATTTGTACAGGCAGGAAACATGCTTATGCTTTGATTTCAATTTTATATTTAAAAAAAGAACATTTCACAGATCCACACAGGTTAACCAGATAGGCTCTCTGCTGGGTTGTGGTGTTGAACAAAATAGGCAGACAGCTCTTTCAAGGCTTTGTAACGATGAGAAATAGAGTTCTTCACAGTCTTGGGCAATTCAGCATATCTGCAAAAAAACAACTTAGAACTTCACCATGAGAAACTGCAAAACCTACTCATCTAGAACAGATAGTAGTATAAATGGATTAATTAAATTTACTCTATTTCTTGGCTTAAATATTTAAGTCCTAAGTTAAGGAATGATTTGATCAAATACTCTTCTTGGGACATATGAGAATTGCCAATGGAACATCTGTATTAAATCCATTATTTTAAATAGAATAAAACAATAGAATAATCCAAATGCCTGCTGACAATACATTCATAAATATTTAAGGCAAAATTGGTGTTTTGTAAAACAGAGTTCGCACATTTATTAATACTTGAACGTACAGCAGTGACTGGGTAATTTTACTGACCAATTATAACTAATGAGAAAATATTCCCTTACGTCTCTGTGCAGCCTTCTGGCTGGAAGCAAGGATCCCATCCAAAATCTCGAGGTCCTCTTGGTTCAACTATATGCCCCTATAGAAAAAACAGATATTTAATGTTGAATTTTCAGAGTTGGACCTTACATAAAACATACAGTTCTGAAGGAGCTGGCAGATGTGATCTCACAACTACTAAATCATATATTTCAAAGATTCTAGACCACCATGGTACACAAGAGGACTGGGAAAAAGCTGATATGGTTCCCATCTTCAAAAAACTAAAAAGAAATGGATCCAGAAAACTATAGATCTATCAGCTGACAATATGGGAAAATTCTGGATTATATAGGCAATGGTAATCAAGCAATGAATTTGTGAACACCCAGAGAAAAGCAAAGTTATAACCAGACATAGGTTTGTCAAAAACAAATCAGAAATCTTATTTTATAACAAAGTGACTATATTAGTGGACTAGCAAAATGCTGTGGACATCATTTACTTGGATTTCAGTGAGGCATTTGATAAAGTAGACCACAACTACTACTAGATTAAGATAGAAAAATGTGAATTAGACAGCATCATCACCAGATGGATAGGTAACTGGTTGACCAGCTGCACTCAATATGTAGTCCTTAATGGAACTGCATCTACAGGGAGGGAAACATGCAGTGGGGTATCTCAAGGTTCTGTCTTAGGCCCACCACTCTTCAATATCTTCATAAACAATTTAGATGAGGGGATAGAAGGATAACTTATCACCCAGCAACTGAGCAAAGAACCAGTTGCTAAATTTTTTGAAGCCCACCTCTGGATAATACCATTACCCTTCACTTCCAACTCAATTCAGAAATGTTGAATAAGTACAGCTACTTTTATCAAGCAGTGATAATTCTCTTCACCCATTCTTGTAGAAGTACACTCACAACTAAGCAGGCAGCTGCATGGAGTGACAATAATTAAATAGCTGAATTGGAAACCAGGAAGCTCCATTGCAGGCATTGTTGAGATAGGAATTAGAAACAAGAAGCTGTGTAGCAGACACTGCTGTAAATGTACATAGAAATATATCCCACTACCTGTACTATCAGTCACATTACTCCTGCACAGCAAACCAACCAACTTATCTTCTTTCATTCCTTCTCACCTACCTATACTGCTTTTTTATTTGTCATAAAATAATTCTAGTTACTTCTCCCCATAATAGGACCAGCCTACTGTTGGGCACTACTCAAAAATGACAGCACTTGGACTATGTTTAAGATGTTATGTATGAATGCTGAAAGTGGCTGTTATGCTAACAAAAGGAAATTCTTCAGGTCATTTACTAACAGGTAATTCCACATTGTCATACGTACTTGAGTTTGGCCTTTGAATAACTTTACAGGATCATCTGGATTTCCAGTGCTGAAAGCAAAGGTGCAGAGAGCGTAAGCAGATTTATCTTCAAATCCCGCTAAGAGTTTGTAGAGACCTAAGCAATAAGAAAAAAAAAGTCATGATTTCTTCTTTAGTAAATTTTGCTTGACGGAAGAGGAGATGTGTAGGACACAAAATGGCAGTTCACATATTTTGGTTTTAATCCATATGTCTGACATGTTTGATACATATCAAACAAAATCAATAGGACTACTACGATAGCTTTTCTATTCTAGGTCTAGGACATAATGCAGTTAAAAATTCAATGAATTTTCTGTTCCTGTATATGTGCTTGTGGCAGAAGAAATGTTTTAAACATATATTTAAATAGATGATGTCAATATAATTCAGGTTTATGAAGGCTAAATCAGATCTAAGATATGGAACATTAGGATCAATTCTGCCAAATAGCTACTTTAATATGAAATCAGACAAAAACTTTTTAGTACTTTACAAGTTATCCTAGCTTTCTACTGGAAAATATCATTGAAAGAAGAATGGAACAGAACAGAAAGGATCTGCAAACACAAACCAAGAAGAAGAGAAGGGTAGCATATAGAACACTGAAAAGTAAAATCATCAGGAATAAAAGGATCCTATTTTAAAATGGAAACAAAAAAATGTACTGAGTGCATAATCAATATGGATTATGGCCAGTGCTGTCAAAACACCATCATTCCACATTTGAGTAACACAGGTTAATTAATGAAGGAAGCAGCACAATCTCAGAAGGAAGTTTATATGAAAGAAGGCTGAATTACCTTCTGGCTTTAGCTTTTCTAGGAACCATTTTCTGAAACACAAATAAAGGCACAAATCATATTTTTCACTATCACAAGAATAATAAAAACACCTGAACATCATTCAACAAGCAAGGCAAGACCAAAATTATCTGTTAAATAAGTTACCAAATATTTAATCCAAACAACTCCATCTTTTTTACAAGAGTTCCAAGAAAATGCGCACTTTAAAGTAGAACTATTAAAATCTCGTAAAAACTAATAAACAAAAATAAAAGAATACGTAAAATATAGCAAAGATATAAACATTAACAGTGAAAACATCAGTTCTGAAATGGCAAATCTTGTTCAGCAGAACTGATACCATAATGGCGTGCTTGCACTTTATTCAGGCATGATATTCCCCTCTGAAAAAAAAATCGGGGCCGGCCAAAAGAGACCCCCCACCGCCCGCCGCTCGCGCCACCCGCCGCCCGCCCCAAAAAATCGGAATTCCGATTTTAATCGGAATAATATCATGTCTGTTTATTATTTGCTTGCACTTTATTATTTTATTATTTGCCTTATCAGAAATACAAGAAATCAAAACATAAAGAGTTCCTTAACAGGAGTGTATAGTAGATCCCTCTTCTCTTCTTGCATCACTCTATAGCCATCACTCTTCATACTGCTCTGACTCATCTAGAACAGCGGGATGGCTACGTGAGGATGCTTTTTGTGGATTTTAGTTCTGCGTTTAACACAATTCTTCCACATAAGACTAGTGTCTAAACTTCTGGACCTTGGGCTTTCTAATTCAATCTGCCTTTGGATTATGGATTTCCTGTCTGGCTGCTCACACAGGGTCAGATTAGGTAATCATACCTCTTCAGCCCTTATTCTTAACACTGGTACACCACAGGGTTGTGTGTTGAGTCCCTTACTCTATACTCTTTATGTGCATGACTGCATTTCCCACTCACGTTAATAATACTATTGCTAAATTTGCAGATGATACAACAGTGGTGGGACTTATAAGTGGTGGGGGGATAAGTCTGCCTACCGAGATGAGGTGGACCGGTTGCTTTTGTGGTGTGGAGACAACTTGGTCCTCAACACCAATAAGACCAAGGAGTTTATAGTGGATTATAGAAGGAACAGATCAGACATCCAGCCCTTGCTTATCAATGGAGACCAAGTGGAGAAAGTGACTAGTTTTAAGTTTCTGGGTGTTACCCTAAAAGAGGATCTGACCTGGGGTGCCCACATTGCAGCCCTGGTCAAAAGGGCCCAGCAGAGATTATACTACCTGAGGCTTCTCAGAAAACAACTGAATGAGAAACTGCTGGTGACCTTCTACCGCTGCACCATAGAGCATTTTAACATACTGCACCTCTGTATGGTTTGCCAATTGCACAGTGGCAGATAGGAAAGCACTCCAGAGGGTTAATGTCATTGCCCAGAAGATCATTGGTTGCCCTCTCCCCTCTTTGGAAGAGCTTTATAGCTCCCGCTGTCTTAAGAAAGTTCAAAACATTCTCAAAGATCCATCTCATCCTGGGAACCCTTTTTTTGAACTATTACCATCTGGCAGATGGTACAGAATAAAAACAAGGACAAATAGACTGAAAAACAGCTTCTATCCCAGGGCAGTAGCTCTTTTGAATTCTGTATAGTGCAGTGTTGGTGTGGTGTTGGGCTTTTCTGGTTCAATGTGTGAAGGGTGAAGGATGTGTGTTTGGGTTTATTTTCATGGTCATGATGTGCACTGAAGATGGTTTTTGATTTTGTTGTACGAAGTGCAATGACAATAAAGTAAACTAATCACAATGGGAACTAAAACAAAATGCCAGCACATTAATACAGCATTTCTTATTTAATAGCCCAGCTGGATTAGGCCAAAGATCATCCAGTTCAAGATTCTGTGCCATACTTTGGCCAATGAGATCCAGTTTCGATACTCACACCTGGGTGGTGGATGACAGTCACTTCTCAGTAACCAATATTTAATCCATGTTGCCCATGATTCAGTGGGTGTAAATGGTCATCAGTATCAGGAAGGATCAATATACTTCTCTTCTATGAAACTGCCTACTCCCTTTTAAAACTGTCCAATGGCTGCCATTAATACAATAGTTGGCAACAACCTTTGCAATTTATGTGTTGTGTACAAAGGCATTTTTCTTCTCTCAGTATTGAATCTTCCTACATTTAGTTTCATCGGATGACCTCAGGTTTTAAAAGGGTGAGGAGAAAAACATTAGTCTATCCCTACCATCTATACTATGCATTGTTTATATACTCCATGTTTCTTTTTATTCTCCTTTAGTTCAAATGACAGAGCCACAATCAGAATAGTCTTTCCTCACAGAAAAATAATTGTGATTTCCTTGTTTTCATATCTTTTCTAATTTTGTCATTCACTCATTTTTGTGCAATTATGTCAGTCCTGTTTTTTGGCAATTGCCTGGACAAGTCCTAGTGATTTCTTGGCAAGGTTTTTTTTTAGAAAATATTTACCATGGTGGTCATCCTAGAGTTTAGAAAGAAACTAAAGTCACCTAATTAGCTTTGTGCGTAAGGCAGAACTAAAATTCATGGTTTTCCAGTTTCTAGCCTAGTGCCTTTAGTCCTATACCAAACTGGGTCTCTAATGTTGTAATATCCCTTTTTCATTTCCTTTCCTTTTCTTTTTCTTTTTCTCAGAAATGTTCACAATACTGAACTATACAAAGGAGGGAGGAGGTTTTCTAATAGTTCTAAACATCAAAGCACTCAGGAAATAACCAACATATATCTAGACCTCTGCTTTTCTTTTGTATGTATGTAATAGGGATGCAAAAAAGACAATAAAACTTTCAGTCTAGATCAGGGGTATCAAACTCAATTTCATTGAGGGCTGCATCAGGGTTGTGTTTGACCTCAGAGGGCTGGGGGGTGGGGGTGGTTCTGGTGGACGTTACACAGGACCGTACCTCCACACACATGGTTTTATATACTTATAAAAATAGAAAGACGTACACTTCTGTGATTTTGTTTTTCTAATACTTGATCACCTTATGAGAGAGATATTAAATCAAGAAACATTCCATAGGAAGACTAGAACTATAATTTATTTACACAGACGATAGTAGCAGAAGCCTGAAAGGTAAAATATTTTACCTTTCCTCCCTTTTATAATCTTCTGAGCCAAGGACGGCCTCCTGCAGCATTCCGGAGGCCCCGTTTTGGGCCTGGAAGGCCTCCTGTAGCACTCTGGCGGCCAAAACTGGTGGGGGGGGGCACGTGCGTTCCCCCCGCACTCCATTTTTGCTAGCAGAGGCACCATGGGCTGGTCCTTTGCTATTTCTAGGCTGCTCATGGGCCAGATCTAAGCACCACGCAGGCCGGATCTGGTCCGTGAGCCTTGAGTTTGACACCCCTGGTCTAGATAATTAAGATAAACAGAAATTCCTTTCTGCCTAATGTTCCTTCTCTCCTCACCTGTTTACCTCTAACCTGCCATTATCAGCTATCATCTCAGCAAATTACTGGAGTCCAACTTACATATATGGCCCTGGGAGACCTCCAAGAGCAGTGAAACACAAACAGGTATCTTCTACTATAACTGGTCCCTGAATCTGTTAAAGGAAAATAATAATAAAACAACAAAAGAACAATGAAAGCCTAAATTAATTTTTGGATGTAGTTCCACATATTGTAAATAAAGCTTCCCAAAAGTTGTAGGCAATCATAGGCAGTTAATATCTGCGGCTCTGACAGCAATAATATAAAGATTCATTGCAGAAACCGTTGTTAGGAATGTATATAATATAGATGCCAAATGGAAATAAACAGAATGGCCTCATAGTTGGAGCTCTGCATTTTAAAAATGTAATCAGAGCTAACATAATGTTCCAATAGTTGAAGGGCTGCCACAAAGATGAGCGGGTCAACTTATTTTCCAAAACAACAGAAGGCAAGAAAAGGAAACAATGGATGGAAACTAATCAAGGAGAGAAGTAACCTAGAACTAAGGATAAATTTCCTGACAGTGAGAACAATTAACCAGTGGAACAGCTTGCCTTCAGAAGTTGTGGCTGCTCCATCACTGGAGGCTTATCTGAAGTGGTATAGGGCAGCGGTCACCAACTGGTGGGCCGCAGAGAAATGTCACTCCCAGAGCACACACACACACCCAGCAATTAACCCAGGCTGTGCAGGAACACAAGGCTGCGCCGCCCATATGGCCCACTCACTCCTTACCCAGCAAACTTGCCTGCTAAATTGCTATTTTTCCTTTTTTTTTTTGACCATTGGCTGTTCTGCTGTGCGGGATTTAGATTAGCTAGGAAGCAGGAAATGGTTGGGTTTGTTGCTTTCTAGCTAGTCTTTAGATCTTCGGCTCTGCTTTTAAGCACAGCTGAACCTCCCTTAGGACTGTAGGTTCTATTATTCAGTGCAGACTCATGGCAAGCAAATTTTATGTGACAGACTCAGGTAGCCGATGGCAAATAGATCACTGAATGATTCTGTGAGCAACTCAACCTGCCTGCCTGCTTTGCTCATTTGGGGTAAAAGTTGCATTTGGGTAAAAGTTGCTCTTTTTTAATAAAAAAAATCAATATTTATATAAATATTTATAATATTTACATACAAGCCATACCCAGCCAGTCACATGACCACCAAGCCACGCCCACAAATTAGGCCACGCCCACAGAACAAGTTAATGGTCCCTGGGATTTAAAATTATGAGTTTATTGACCCCTGAGGTCTAAAAGGTTGGCGACCCCTAATATAGAGTTCATGTGTACTTTTTTGACCCTATAGCCAAACATTAAACATTCTTTCTAGAATCAGAACCGCTTGTACCTCTATGGAATATACAGCAAAATTTATCTGAGCATAAATTATAAAATCTCCCCAGCTTTCTGAGTTTCTTATTGCCTTAGGTTATGAGCTAAAGGAATATTTCAACCTGCTTAGCTGCTTCCAGGCACTTCTGTATAGAAATATCATCAGGCTCCCCTTGGTACTCAGGTACTACAAAAGTTTAAAGAAAAGTACAGTTAGTGGTGAACAGTAGTTTGCTAAGATACCAGACAAATGGAAACATGAACTCACAGTCTATTTTCTTTGCAACCAATTTGTATGGGAAGGAGTCACCTAGAATCTGAATCACCTACAAGATAAAGAGAAGTAGTTAGTTTTGAATACTGATAAGCTTTCACAAGTTACATCTCTTAACTGTATCGTGCACAATGTAGCAGTCCCTTTACTATGGACTATGTTTCTCTAAGAAACCCAAATGCCACATTTGCATTTCATATTTCAGAAAATTATTAAAAACTTCCTACTTCATCAAGGATTCATCTACACTGATTGTTGGCACTCTTTTATGCATGTAGTAGGTTTTTTTTACGCTTTGCTTTTATTTTCTTCTACACTGCCAAGGGTTTTTGTCAGAGGTGGTATTCAGCAGGTTCTGGAGAAGCGGTAGCGGAAATTTTGATTAGTTTGGAGAACTGGCAAATACCATCTCTCACAGGAGATTTTACAGTATCTTTCCCCTGCCATGCCCACCAAGCCACGCCCACAGAACCTGTAGTAAAAAAAATTGAATCCCACCACTGGTTATTGTTACAAGTATAGGATAAAGCCATTTTTCTCTGGGGGTGGTATTTCTGGACTGACAGTTCCTAGAGACATCAATCAAAAACAAATTTCCCACTAGATCATTTTCTGGATTTAAACATATAAAAGTGGGGAAACACAACAGTGCTACAAATTGAAGGTACTTTGGCTAAAGCCATATAATGGATGGCTTAGAGTTAAAACATCTTTACTTTCCGCCAGTGTTTGCTAGGATTGCAAATATTAAAACAACACCAAGCCAATAAAAAAGAGGTACATAAGTCTTGGTTGTCCAGACTTTTGCAACTCAGAATAGCTAATCCAAGCATTTCAGAATTATTTTTTGCGCTGAAGCAATCAATAACCACAATTTTAGTAACCAATAAATTCATGTTCTGCCTATTTGTGAGTCTTTGTGGAAGACAGGTTAGAAATCCCAACTCTTGCAAAGGTTGGCCCGTTTATTCTTTAGTGAAAAACAGTGTTTCTCAATCTTGACAAACTACTCCTAAAACTAAAATCGTATGGTATCTCTGGACACCTGTATAACTGGATAGAAGCATTCCTGTCAAACAGACAACAAATGCTCAAAATTGGAAGCATCCTATCAAATTCTGTACCTGTCAACAGTGGTGCCCCCAAGGCAGTGTTCTAGGACCAACTCTCTTCATACTCTACATAAATGACCTCTGTGATCATATCAAGAGCAATTGCGTCCTCTTCGCTGATGATGTAAAGCTGTTCAATACCACAGACAATACTGCTACCCTACAAAAAGATCTTGACTATGTATCAGAATGGTCAAACAAATGGCAACTTCAAATCTCAACAAATAAATGCTCTGTCTTACATATTGGCAACAAAAATCAGAAAATAAAATACAAGCTAAATAGTCAAGACCTTGTTGATGATCCAAACTCTGTCAAGGATCTTGGAATACTCATCTCTAATGATCTAAGTGCTAGAGCCCACTGTAACGACATAGCCAAAAAGGCATTAAGAGTTGTTAACCTAATCCTACAGTAGCTTTTTCTCTGGTAATATCACACTACTAACTAGAGCATACAGAACATTTGCTAGACCTATACTTGAATACAGCTTATCAGTCTGGAACCTGCATTATGTATCTGATATTAACACAGTTGAGAAAGTCCAGAAATATTTCACAAGAAGAGTTCTCCACTCCTCTACTCGTTGTAGAATACCTTATGCCACCAGACTTGTAATTCTAGACCTAGACAGCATAGAACTATGCCGTCTTCAGTCCGATCTTAGTATATAAAATCATACATTGCAATGCCCTATCGGTCAATGAATACTTCAGCTTCAACCATAACAACACAAGAGCAAACAATAGATACAAACTCAAGGTTAACTGCGCCAAACTTGATTGCAGGAAATACGACTTCAGCAACAGAGTGGTCAATGCCTGGAATACTCTACCTGACTCTCTGGTTTCTTCCCCAAACCCCAAAAACTTTAACCTTAGACTGTCTACTATTGACCTCACCCCTTTCCTAAGAGTTCTGTAGGGGGCGTGCATAAGCGCACCAACGTGCCTACCGTCCCTGTCCTATTGTTTCTTTTATTTTTCTTATATGTATCCATTTCATGTATTCATAACTATGTTTATGAGATGTTATTTTATAATCGCTTGACAAAATAAAATCAATAAAAATAAAAAAATAAAGTTCATTATTCATAGATGAACAGCTAAACGCTAGCCGGCGCCATCACCCATCCGCTTTGTAAACGACGGCAGAAAGCCACGGAAGCCGCTGCCCACCTCCTCCAGTTTCTTCACGTTTCCGGTGACAAACACCACGCTTCGGCCGGCTGCCGGTATCATCGCCATCTTGCGCTGACGCCTGCGCAGTTAACCGATCATGACCTCCTCAGGGTTCCCCTGGGCAGCCTCGCACTCCGAAGACAAGCTTTGAAGGTATACGGGGAATCACGCTGAAGAAGGGCGGAACCTATCGCAAACTCTGAAATCCACTGGACGTAAAAATCCAAGATGGAAGCTTTGGCCAGCCAATGAGCTTTGAACGTAGAGGAAGGACTCAGAGAGGTAAAAAAAATGGGAGGGTAAAGACCCGGACGGCACTTCCGGCGTGTGTTTTGGCTCCCGGGAACGCCTTCCGGCGGCTTCAGCGATGGAGGCGTTGCGGTTGCTGCCGCGGGACGCTCGAGACTTCGCTTCGTCGGAGTATTGGGACCGATTCTTTCGGAAGCGAGGCGAGCGCGCCTTTGAGTGGTACGGCGAGTGGTCGGGACTCGGACCGACTTTGGGGCGGTATCTGCGCCTGCGGGACTCGGTGAGACGTGATAAACCGGAGGAGAAAAACAAAAGTTAGGAGAAAGGAGAGCACGTGGGCAGGGCATGAACTTTATTCGGTGGAGGCTCCGGAGGAGTTTTCATTACCTGAGATCAGTCAAACCAACTTTCGGAGCTACGTTCGAGTGACTAAAATATAGATTAGCCCCCCTGGCTGGATGTACATCACAACGCACTAAGCCACTAACTAATCGCCCCCTTTTCAGTTGCCTCGTAATGTCAAGAGGGCCTCTGCAATTCAGATTGGCCGCCTGATGTCTAGTCTAGTTTTTAAAATCCCCGATGAGCTTGGATGAAGGCAATTCAGACCGCCCGATCTCTTACCAGAGGCCACCATGATTCTGATAACTCCTGATTTTATTCTACTTAGGCACAGGATGGAGAAAAACGTGAACGTTAATGTGCTTGATTTGGTAGCTGACAACTAGCAAGACAGGCACTGCCCTCAGTTTTACAATATTAAAAAATGCAGAATGTAAGAAATCCCAAGCTCATGTATGTGCTACAAATTTCTTACAAATACTGGCATCAGCCATGCAGGTGAAAGCAGTTTTAAAAATTGGTGAGCTCTGTTTTACGTCTCTGGCTGCTATAATCTCTTAGATAACTGCAATCTTCACAGAAAACATATTATTTCTTCTCCATCCACCCAATCATTACACCTATGTAGACTACAGTGATAAAGAGTGAATGTATAAGAAGTACCTGTATTCCAAAAATAATATTTTGCCTTATGTCTTTTAAGTTATAAACCAAGGGGCAGGCTGAGGTTTTTTTTATTCATCATGTAGGAAGCCTTTTTAGTTGAAATATAAAATTGCTTCAAATACTTGATCTACAGCAGGGCTCTGCAACCTGAAACACTCAGCCATCTGGACCAGTTTCCCACAGAAGAGAAAACATCAGGAGCCACAAAACCTGAGATGGCATGGCCAACTTGATGTCACTCACTCCCACCCAGTCACATGACCCCCCAGATACACCTACCCAGATTTTATGGCTCCCGGTATTTTCTCTGGGAAACCTCTCTTTCTCTCTCTCTTTCTCTTTCTCTTTCTCTCTCTCTCTCTCTCTCTCTGTCTCTGTCTCTGTCTCTCTTCCTCCCCCCCCCATTTCTCCCTCACTTTCTCTGACCTCTTTCTCCTCTCTCTCCCCCACTCTCTCTCATCTTTCCCTTTCTCCCTCTCTAATCTCTCTATTTCTCAAGAGCAGCAAGCAGGCCATGGAGGCGGTAAGAACAGCAGCATTAGCCACAGCCGGGCAGGACCAGTGTCTTTTGGCAGAGAGAAAGTCACGTGTCTCCCCATATTCCTTTCGCCGCCTCCATGGCCTGCTTGCTGCCCTTGCAGCACCTTGTGCAGCACACTTAAATTTAGCATGCTTCACAATAGAGGAGACGGCGTCCCCTCCTCCTCCTGGAGCCCATTATGATGCAGAGAATTGGCTGTGGCCAGGCCAGTGTCTCCGGGCGGAGAGAAAGTCATGCATCTCTGCGTGGCTGAAGTACATGCAGTACCAACAAGGGTCAGAAGAGGGGCTCTCCACTCATGCTCTGGAATATGGAGTGAGTCTTCTCAGGCCAGGCAAGGATGACTGCGAGGGGAGGGGTCCGCCAGTGGTGGGATCATCAAACAGGGAGCCGCAGGAGGGGGCCCAAAGAGCCACATGTGGCTCTGGAGCCGCAGGTTGCCGACCCCTGATCTCAATATGTGATCTAGTGTAATGTGGGAAATTTCCCTTTATTCCTGTTCTACTTTCTACATATGTGGATAAGAAATTATGGGGTGCTAACTTCTTTCTCAACCCTACTTTAAGCTGAAATCTAAAAGTATGGCGTTTGCATGGACTCTAAAGAGAGCTTTCATGAGTCATTTTGATATGTCAGGGTCTAAACTTCCAACTTTTTCCTAAGATTATATTTCTCTTCATTAGTTTCATGACTTTTATTTTAAAATATCCAGTGAAGTGTATACAAATTATCAAGGATCTACTTTCATTTTAGTTTCAATATGTTTTAATTACTTTGAGGGCCAGATGCTAGAACTCTTTGTATAAACCACCTGAAAAATCCCTATGCTAAGGAATAATTTTAATAAAAGGAACATGACATTTCTTCCATTCTTTTCTGTTAGATTCTTGTTGTTGGCTGTGGCAATTCAGAACTAAGTGAGCAGCTGTATGATGAAGGCTATCATGATATCATCAGTGTGGACATTAATGAGCGGGTTGTTAAGCAGATGCAGGAACGCAGCACGCAACTGAGACCCAAAATGACTTACATGGTAATGGATGTACTGCAAATGGATTTCCCCGATGATCATTTCCAGGTGGTGTTTGATAAAGGCACACTTGATGCCCTGCTGACTGATGGAGAAGAAACCACTCTGAAAAGAGCTGAAAGAATGTTTGCTGAAATTAGCCGTGTCTTGCAATTCGGGGGGCGTTACCTATGTGTCTCCTTGGCTCAGACACACGTATTGAAGGCAGCTGTGGAATATTTTTCTCAGAAAGGTTGGATGGTTCGTGTACATCAAGTCCCTGGCCAGAAAACAGGCACTTCAGAACAGGAATTTGCTTTGCCTGTCTTTGTTTATGTTATGACAAAGATAAAACCAGTCCCTGGCTCTGTTTTATGCATTTTGGAGCTCTGTACTGAAGCACAAGAGAAACCTGCCCGGTTCAAGAACAGTGAGCATCTAATTGATGCAGTGAAAGAGAGACAACACTATTCTCTGCTGTGGAATCAACTCAATAAGAACTCCAATGTAGGGACCATCTCTCTGGATCTCTGCAACAAAGACACTGGTCAAGTCCGGTATACTTTACATGTAGTGCATAGCCCAAAGGCGAAAATGTCACAGGACAAGCAATTTGCCATCTTTATCAGTGAGTTAATGTGTTCCTTATTTAGCCCACTATATTGGAGATCAAATACAATTCAAACAACCCAAGATTCTATCTTTAGATTCTCTTCCTGAAACGTTGCTAATATTGTTGAGCAAAATTTGCAGTTTTTTCAGGTATGCTGAAAAACAGTATTTGCAAAGGTAGCAAAATCTATTCCAATATTTATGAGATTTTGAGTTTGTCAATGCTAATTAGCAAGTCGCCTTTAGCATTTTTTTTCTCTATGAATTTCATCCCCAAAGAATGAACTAGCAACTTTTAAATAGGTTCGTATCAGAAAAAAGAGTTGAAAATGATTAAACATTCTGTATCATAATATTGTTTTCGAGTATCAATTCATTTTCTGATATTTGATATTCTCACAAAATAGAAGTTATCAAAATAATTGCTGCAGCGTCTAACAAATGATATTTTTACATATTTTTGCTTGGTATTGTTTTGGTGGATATAATATTGTAATATTCCCAGCATTTGCTTCTAAAACATCTTGAGTTGCGACCATACATTTCCAATATATGATTAATTGTAAATAATTGAATATAATTTATACTATTTTAAGAAAGTAGTGATCAAAGCTTTATGTAAGGATAAATGTTAAGAATCGTGGTTAGCAAAGTATGAATTACCAAGGAAAGCAATAAGCTGCAACATGAGAACAGAAAAATTGTTCTGCTTTAAATATCCCATGAAATTGAAATATAGAATCTGTGCACTGAAAGCTCCACATTTTTGATGAGACACAAATCCCTTCTGTTGCCTGATGCAGTACCACAGGGCAGAGAAACTGAGTGGCTCTTTGGGACGGAGGAGGGACGGAAGCAGTTGGTCCTGAGTGCGGGATTTTGGCGTCTGGTAACTGTGGCCTTACATAGAAATCAACACTATGACAACATGGGAGCCATCCAGGCAGAACTGTCAGAAAAAGTGATGGAACTAGCCCCCCCTGGGCTTCCAGCCCAGCAGCAGGTATGTCTTTTGTCTGGCTAATGACCAGTAAAAGGTCCGTTTAGCCCTCTGATCTTCTCTAGCAGTGGCCCACTAAATACTTAAGGGAAGCCAACAAGCAGGATGCAATTATAGTAGCACTTTCGTGCTGATACTTTCAGAAGCTATGTGATTAAAAAGGTATTTTTCCCCTCCTTGAATTTTTCAGTGATGATGTGATGGTTTCTTTGAGCAATGCTGCATGAATTTGACAAACTCTTTGTACGGCAGAAGCAAAATTAATTTGTTCCATGGTCTTCTGCAGAAACCAAGGCTGCTCAGGACCTCCTGGCTACTGCTGCTGCTAGAGCAGGGAGGAACAGCAATCAGCTGTCTTGGCCTAGTACTTAAACTTCAGTTTGTGTGTGATAAAAATATGGGTCTATTCAAGCCAGATACCTTAAACGTTTTGGGAAAGCTAGGTGATCAAAAGAACTTGATACTTAAAATAAAACTGGCATTGCCTCTTGCGTATAAGAATCCAAAAAACACAGTGTCAGAATCTTTTTTCTGCCATCTCAATATTGGTTCTAGCAAAGACTACCACAAATCTAAGATCCTAGAAAGTGGTGGTCATCGTTCAGGTAGCCAGAGTAGATGGCATTTATAATATGTATTATATTCTGCCCCCCTGATCTTTGAAGAAACTCTGGGATGGTAGCATCATTAGATTGCCTTCTCTTGCAGGTGCCATTTCTGTCTGTGGATGGAGACATTGGGATCCGTACCATCCAGCATAGCGATACTAGTCCTTTTAGTGGGGAGTACGTTATTGAAGATGTCAAAGGAGGTGGTGCTTGCTATTTCCGTCGCCTCATCTTCCTCAGCAACAGGAATATAGTGCAGTCAGAAGCAAGGCTTTCATCCAGGGTATCCCACAAAGGTGAAATTAAAGCTGTGGCTACTAATTATGGGCGACTATCTTTTAGAATGGGGTTGTGAGGAGGCCTAGTACAGGTATATAAGTGGGAGACGTGTACTGCACAGCCCCACTTTTCTCTCCAGCTTTCTGTGGATCAACTTAAGGAAATGGTAGAAAGAAGCAGGCTAGTAAGGTAAGGCAATGTTTTTGAATTCCTAAGTACAATATGCACTGCTGTCTCTCCTGTTCAGCACCACATATTTTAAGATGTGCAAATCCGTATCAGTCTTCTCTACCACGTAAATTTATGGCCCTTTGAATATTGTTCAATTCTCAGCATCCCTGACTACTACTTGTCCGTCCAAGAGTTATAACTCAGGAACATCTGGGTGGACATTATCTTTGCACAGCCATCTAATGAACTAAAATGAATTCCGGCCTGCTTTAAAATTAATAAGTTGTTTAAAACAAATGAACAGAATGGCTATTTTGGGAGAAAGATAGAATTCCAATCGTGACCCATTATTGGGGAGGGATGGAGTATTTTGAATAGTTGTCTCCTATCCCAGATAAGTTAAATAATCAAACTACCCCTCCCCCTTTTTATCGTTACGGTAGTCCATATGTCCATCTCAATTTGCTTTGTTTTCTTTGGCCAGGTAACAAGCAGAAGCAGCAAAAGAAGAAGAAAGTGGACCTAAGGGACCGTTCCAAATCTGATGCTGAAGCTGCTCGTCTGGCCATTGACAAAAGTTACTTGTGTTGTGCTCACCACAGAGCTATGGTCTCAGGACTGTGCTTGCTGAAAAACCCTGAAGGTCTTCCAAGTGAGTAGGAAGCCACAGGGTCATTTTTAAGGTGTGGCTCATGAATATTAAGTGAATTTGTTAGGTCCCTGTCAGTCGTAGCTAATTAGTGGGATTTTATTTATTAGATTTTTGTCCCAACTTCTTTTGTCTTTTACAAATAAGTCTAGTTGGCAAACATACCAATACTACTACTTCTTACACCTCTTTTTCTCCATAATAACAACCCTTTAAGGTGGGGTGGGTTGAGTGAGAGGGACTGACCTAAGTTACCCGGACAGCTTTCATGCCTAAGGCATGGCTAGAACTCACAGTCCCCTGTTTCTCTACGAGGCATTTGTAAATAAGCTTATGCTTCTAGTCTCTTCCATCGATCCATCCATCCATTAGCAATAAAAACAGAGTTTGGAGTAGAATCATAAAGGTGCTAACGTATATAATGCATATCCATTGTCTAGAATTCATTTGGCTAGATTAAATTGGATTGAGTGTCTGAGCAAATAGTAAAAAGAAAGAGGGGGAGGAAGCATGCAGACGCAAAGTTAAAGCTGCAATAATGTGTTTAGCCCCCAGCCCCAAGGTGATTCTGCCAAAATGTGCAGCAAATTATTTTATTTTTTTCTTATCCATCTGTATTGAGGGCTACTCTACATATAACCCAAACTTTGGGTTATATTAGATCTGAACTCTGAAAATCCACATGGTCATTAGGTGGCAGCAAAACTTAAGAGTATTCTGTATATCTTTCCTGCCATGTCATTTGTTATCTGTTATCTTGATTTTTCATCCCAGCTCTGGTAACCTTACAGCTCGGCTGAAGCTTTTCTTATACAGAACTGATCAGGTTGCAATTTGGTATGGGTGTTGACATATACTCCTCCAAGGAGGGATTCTTGAAAAACAGGTCTCTTTGTCAACAGCTATATCCAGCACTACTAGGTTATTTGGTGCCCCAGGGAATGGCCTGAAGTGCAACCTCAGAAAATTGGAACATGGGACAATAGACTTCATTTCTTTTCTACTCTTACATAAATTGCCCTCTGAGTTAGCAGAGCGGCTATAACAGAGCTATAAAACGTTTGGACATTGCAACCCTTACACTGAGAATTATGATACAGAATGCCACACTCCTTCTTCAGAGCAGGACACTGTTAGTTGTGCTTCCAATTCGTAACTGTTCTGTGTGTTGTTTTCAGAAGCCCAGATCCATATGCTTGTGATTGGCCTGGGTGGTGGCAGCCTCCCTCTCTTCCTTCATGACTACTTCGTGCAGTGCTCTGTTGATGTAGTGGAGATTGATTCTGCCATGCTGGAAGTGGCTACACGCTGGTTTGGTTTTTCACCAGGAGATAGACTCAAAATTCACATTGCAGATGGCTTAGTTTATGTTGCCAATCTTACAGCAAAAGGTAATAACTTCTTAGATCAATTCACACCCAAAGCCATGATTTATGAATGGTGCATCTCTTAGCGTTGTTTATGTCCTTTGACTTTCTGACAGCAAGTATTTCAGAAGTCTTGAAAGCATCTGTACTGCTCTTACCCTTTTGTGTAATTAAAATGAGTTATTTTGAGCATTTAATGGTTCAAGAAGAAAAAAAGTTTAAAAAACCATCCTTCTATTCTGGAAGTTTTAGTTATACTTCTGTATATCAGAATTCTTGTAATACACGTTATCTATAATTGTGCCCTATGATGCTATAAATCAGGTACTAAGACAAAAACACTTTTATTTTTCCACAAGGAACACAGAAGCATTTAACCCTTGTAGTGTCAAAAATCTTTATTTAAATGTTGAACCTTGAGAACCACAATGCTAGGTAGGTTATTTAACTCTGGAGCTTGCATTTGCAATTGGGCTGTGCCCCCAACTAATACATTTGCATATGTACGTGCTATAGAATCCATGTCTTGTTACGGAACAATGTGTCTAGGCTTTTAGGGACACAGTAGAATGCCATTATTTACTTTCTTGTTTAAGAATTGAATGCTGATAAAATAGATCTGTACTCTGGTCCAGCAAGACAATTCTGGTGTTTGATCATAAGGGAAAATTGCTCTAATTAAATCATGATTCTCAAGTCAAACTTCAAAAAGCTTCAAAGGAATTATTAGAGGCGACATACTGGCTCTGCCCTGTATGAAGCCAACTCTGACATAGGTAATTTACAGTCACCTGTGACCCTGTTTCCCCCCTCCCCCCGGGTGTCTTATAAACCAGACTCTTCCATTTGAGCACATTCACAGACTGGGTGTCATCATTCACATTCTCCAATGAAATATATTCAAGGGCAAATGCTCTAGTATTTTAGTTACAATCTTTTAAAGGTAAGAGTTGGAATGTACTTTCGCTTTCAAACTGCTTCACTGCTCTTCCAGATTTCCTCCCCCCCCCCCCCCCCACTTTTTTTAATTAATGGCAACTACTAAAACAGGCATAGGAATGTTTTATGAGTTGACATATTTCATTCACTCCCTCCTTTTGCACCCTTTCTTTAATTATTTTATTCCACCAATTCTTTCCTATTATAGTGTAACTCTTGTGCTACAGTGAGTTGTCCTGTGGTGAGTTTGCCATATTTATTTTTGTCAGGTCATATTGCACTGAAGTGGGTCTCTGACATTTCACCACGGCCAACTCACAAATGTTTTATGGGAAATTCTGGTCAGTAGATAGTAGCAATAGCACTTAGACTTATATACTGCTTCATAGTGCTTCACAGCCCTCTCTAAGCGGTTTACAGAGTCAGCACAATCTGGGTCCTCATTTTACTGACCTCGGAAGGATGGAAGGCTGAGTCAACCTTGAGCCTGGTGAGACCCAAACTGCCAAACTGCTGGCAGCCGGTGATCAGCAGAAGTAGCCTGCAGTACTGCACTCTGACCACTGCGCCTCCACGGCTCTATAAATAAACAAAAATCTACAAAAAAAGAAGGATGTGCGATTAAATGCAGTTAGGTAAAATGTATCTCAATTTCCTTTGACTTTGGATCTACTTAGCAAAGTTTACAGCAGTACCTAACGTGATAGATAATATCTAAAGAGGGATATCTCGATCTGTTTCAATATCTGATATAATTGAAAGAATATTGTGAAGTACAGACGTTCCTCGTGAAAAAAATTCTGGGTAGGGTCAGTCTTACTCAGTAAAATGGTTTTTTAGATGCTCTTGTGATTGCCATGGATTGGGATTTATTTAGGCATAAAGTCTTTTTTTCATGTGTGTATATTAGACTACAAAACAGATAGATTTGAAAACCAAAGTATATTGTTTTCACAAATGTTATTGGCCACACATTAAGCTCTAATGATCCTCACTGATATTTTGTGAAAAATATGCTCCACTTTTTTCCCTTTCCTTCCCAGCTCCATCATCTTATGATGTAATAATGTTTGATGTGGACAGCAAGGACTCAACTTTGGGAATAAGCTGTCCACCACCAGCCTTTGTGGAGAAAGCTTTTCTTCAGAAAGTGAGAACACTTTTGAAAACAGAAGGTGAGAACCACTCAGTACTAAGTGCCTGAGTGCCTAAGTGCCTCAGTACTAAGAGCAAAGTAAACTGATGAGCTGCCTCTCTAGGAGCTATTCTGTCTTTTTATTTGGATCTAATTTATTATGAATTGTTCTAGAATCAGTGAACTTTTAAAAAATCTTTGAAATCTCGCAGTACAACAACGACTTGATTAGAACGACACTTGTTAATAAAGAGATTTTTGTAAAACAACACAGAAAATTCTGTACTGCGTCATGTTTTTACTGAATACACTGAGACAGCATTTATTGTCTTTATTGGATAAGTAAAGCTTAGGATAATTATTAAACTCTTTTCAGGAGATGAATTAGAAATTCTAGTCAAGAAGATGACTAGAGTCTTGTCCAAAGGGTGTCGATTTGAGGGGTTCCTTACATAAAACTATATTGGTTGCTACGATCAGGTCTGCTGTTCATTACACCAGTTTACAAAAGTGAATCATGTCTATATCAGAAGAGATTTCTGCAGACCTCAGAAAAACCTTGCTCATAAAGTTGGTAAGCTTTGCAAAACTATTGCTAGATATTGCAAAACTATTGCTTTGTCTGTCAGTGGTCAGGCAGGTAATAAAAATGTGGCAGAGAACAAAAGTAACGAAATAAATAATAGAGTTTTTTATATCAGCAAAAAACAGAATGGGGAAAAAGAATGAAGAAGGCAAGAAGAGATTCCACCAGAAGGAAATACTCTGTTATGTAGCCTCACTGATTGTAATAATAAGCCAAAATATTCTATTTTTTCTATCTGCAGGCGTTTTTATTCTCAATCTGGTATGTCGAGATATCTTGCTTCAAAAGTCTGTTTTGGCTGCCCTCAAAGAGACTTTTCCTGTGCTTTATACTCAGAAGATTGAAGGGGAAGTAAATGAGATCATCTTTTGCCAACAGCAGGATAAAGTCAAATTGTCTCCCAGAGACCTTCAAGAGAAAGCTCAGATTTTGGAGAAGGCACTTCAGCGACCTGGGCAAGAATGGGATAGCACTTATATCCTGGCAGATATGTTGGAAACAATAAAACTGGTTTGAACAACCACATATTCCATGTTGCAGCTACAGTTGGAGAGAAGAAATACAGCCCACTACATTCTGAGGGTATTGTGTTACATCAGTTACAGATCCGTATTTGCATACCGGACAAGGATGGGCCATCAATTTGAAAAGTTGAAGGAAAAGGAAATGCCCATTCCTTTGTGGCAGAATTGGAAACCATTTCACTGAGAGATTTTGATTTTGAGATGAAGGAAGTGCCCTAAAATGTTCCTCTGGAGCAACCTCCTGCTTTAGATTTGTTTCTTTTGTGTTGTCATTGACTGTTTAACATCAGCTGCCCCTTTCTTTAGAATCAAATAGCTTTTGTTTTATATTTTGTTACAAATATAAGATAAAGTGAAAAAGAAGTCAGAAAGTGAAATTCCTGGATATAAGAATTTATAGTATTTATAAAAGGAAAGAACTTAATGAGATGGATTATTTCAGTTTTATAGGAAAATGTAATATTTGAGAGAATCTCTTTGAAAGCTTTATCATTTGTACAAAGATGTTTGAGTTTGTTCCAGTGACACGGTCACTTGCACCATACTTGTGACTCCCTTTTTGACACTTATGGGACAAGGATGAGGCCTTTTCAAAGTAGAATCCTCCAGTTCTATTTTGCATCTTCTGAGACACCACTGTCTAGACAGAAACTTCCCTGCATTTCTTTTTTTGTGATAGGCTCTATTGTGTAATCCCTAAAGCAAAAATGGATGAGTTGGGAAATACCCAGGAGGGCCCAAAACTCTGAAAGCTGCCAAAATTGTAACAAAGGGAAGTAAAGTATAGTCAGGTTTTACTGAGTTCATGCTTTTATTTAAGGTAGAATGAAAGAACATCATTGCAAAGAAAAATTGTTTCTGGCTTGCTAGAGCAAGTGTTCTTGACTAATGAAATGGTGTTAGATCTTACCCAACTTGTCAGAAAAATGCCTGTTTTTTTTTAATCTTCATACTTTCCTTAATTTCATGATATTCACAATTAGAGAGTTCCTTCTGATAAAAATAGAAGTTTCCGTAAATCATGTACATCCCCACTACATGTTTTGCCAGTTTCCTACATATTTCTTCTTTCTGGGATGTTTTTCAACTTATGACTGTAAAGTAGCCTGCCTACCACTTTCATAGGTTTTGATGGTTATAAAATGATCTCTTTTGCAACAGTCGTAAGTGAATGCGATGGTTGTTAAGCACCCACTAGAGTTGTTAAGTGAGCCAGTGCTTTGGTGTGGCTTTTCCAAAAACCAGGAGTAAATTCCAGTTTTTATTGTAAAATAAGATCACGTGACCATGGGATGCTGCAAGCAGCTGTAAAGTTGGCCCAGTTACTGAGTACCCAACATTTGGTCATGTAATCGTGGAGGCTGACCGTCAGAATTTTGAATCCAGGTCATGCAGCCTCCCTAGTAGGGCCATTGCATTTTCGAACAGTTGTTAAGCAACTGGTCGTAAGTTGAGAACTACCTGTAGCAGAACTTTTATAAAATCTAAAAGTAGGAGAAGAATCTTTTAGTCTAAAGCTAAAAAGCCATCAGCAGAATGACTTTTTTTCTAAGAGAGAAAGTCTTGGAACTAAAGGCCCCTACAAGTGAGAAAGATTTTTCCTTCTTTGCAGAAACACCCTATCTTAAAACCATTCAAGCCTTTAAAGATCAGCAGAAACACTTTGCATTGGGCCCCAAAGCATGCTGACCATCAGTCAAGGGATAAAGCGTTGGCCACACACAAACATAGCAGCCAGTCTCAGCTGAGCAGGTGACAAATTTTCATGTAGCAATTTTCTTTTCTAAAATTTCATATTACATTCTTAGCTCCCTCTCCTCCCCTGGACATACATTATACAATATTCTGGGTTGATTTACGTTGCCTGGGAGAAGGTCGGGAAAATAAGGCAAGTTTGTTCAACTTGTGCAAAACATTCTTGTCTCCAAGATGATCTCAGTGAAGTCTTGTTCCCATGAAAACTTTCACTTCCAGAGACTTCATGTTTGATAAAAGCAGTAGTAAATGATGGGAAGAGAACATTGGGTCCTAGATGGGTATCAGACTTCATGAATCACTTCACAGGGAATTTTCATGGCCAAATCATCTGAATTCAGGAGATCCATGATTGTACCGTCTTGGTAATGTAAACATTCTCTTGGGGAATTGATGGATTTCACATGGGGAAATGGTGAATTTGGCTCGCCCATCTGCTTTTATTAAAGAATCATAAATTTTCCATGTCACATATAGGATATTGAAAAGTAGCTTACGATTCCTGGGATCCTACCAGTTGGATAACAAATACTAAATATTTATTAATTAAAATAAAAAAGAAGTGAAAACTCATGAACAAAAGTGGGTAACCTGGTGCTGTCCAGAAATGTTGGACTATATATTTTGGTTATTAAGTCAGGTATATAGAGGTATACTTTTGGAGTGAATTTCCTAACAAAGCAGTTGCCATTAGGGTCCTGAAGCATTTAAACCAAATGCCAAACAATGGCTTGAAATATCTGTAAATAATATTGAACAAGAATATCATGAAGGCACCCAGGAACATCCATATTGACTTGAACTGGAAGTTGTCTTGTTCTTCATCTTGACTGCTCCATCACAGTTGATCTGAACTCTCATTAAACAATAGTGGTTTATTTAAAATTTTCCTCGTAGCACCATTCTAACATTTCTTAAACTTAGCTTGGGATCTCCAAGGAAAACCAATTTCTTCTGAAGCGGCCTAGAGCTTAACTGCCTTTTTCAGACCTAATGGTGAGGATAAAATGTGGGCTTTGAAGTCCAAAGATGGATGGAAAAAATGATGGCAGTTCATTCTCTGGTCTTCTCTCCCTTCACTGAAGAATGTTGTCCTAATGTCCAGCTGAAAACCTTCAATCTTTTTATTTCTGCCTCCTGAAGCACCAGAGAAAAAGTCAACTCTCTCAGGTTCTTCTGGAGATAGTTATTCCCTTTTACCTTAAAATTCTCTATGAGACTAATCAGTCACTCTCTCAACATGTCCACATGCGAACGTTAAAAGGCATCCCCACAGAGAAGGGAGGAAGGCAGAAGGACAGTAATGGTGATGGTGCTAGTGATGTTGGGTAATGAAATGTCTGCAAGCAAAGAACCAAGCTCAGAGGGCACCAAAGACTCACATTTCAAGCAGGAGCTACAAAGATTATCTTCAATTGGATCTCATCCTGCAAATAAAAAAAATGGGGGGGGGGGGGGAGTATTTTACATAGTGTTTCCTATGTGGCAAGTTGATGTTCTTTCACTTTTTCAACAACTGTCATAATACAATATTGAATTAAATTGAATTCTTTGGGTAAAGGGGATACAGAGGTGGATACAATTTTCCCAGCATTCTGATTGGTTTAATGTCTGAAGATTTAATTAAAATCTATTAAGTTGGACTGTTACCATTGTCAGAATGAAGTTTGTGTCACTACTAGCATAATATCCTGGTAGTGAACGGCCAATAGACTCCAAGGCATAATATCAAATAAAAATTCAGTAGTTAAATAAGTGGGGTTCTGAAGCATTGTGATATTCTATACCAGGGGTCTTCAAACTTGACAGCTTTAAGACTTGTGGACTTCAACTCCCAGAATTCCTGCTCCAGGCATTTTAGCTCAGGAATTCTGGGAGTTGAAGTTTACAAGTCTTAAACTTGCCAAATTTGAAGACCCTTGTTCTATGCATTTATTTTTAATGTACACAAGCCACTGAAAAATACACATTAAATAATTTTCTGACCTCCAACAACAAAAGCTTCAGGAGTAGAAATTTTTTAGTAAGTTTCTACAATCTTTTGATCACATGTTTTGTACAGTTTGTCACACAATTTAGCATAAAGGAAGTGACTCATAAAATTCTTGATAAATCTCATGGGTTAGGGTGGAGACAGTTTAACTATATTTTGTGTATTTCATTTAAAATCTAGCAACAGAGATGTTGCACTTGTAACAGTATTTTTATTCCTAATACCAAGACAACCAATAGCCATGAATTCTATATACAATTTTCAGAAGCTCATTCTTACTTCTCAAGTATACATAACAGGAAACCCCTAATATTAGATACTTTCCAGGTAAATAATCCATCTTTAAATCCATGGTTAATATGACTCATAAGAATTGATTATTCCATTGATGTGAGCCTTTAATCTTGTTCTCAGGGCCAAATATTAAATAAAATTTAAGATTTAAGCTTTTTTTTTTTCACTTTGATTTGTGGGAATTTTGCCAGTTCCTAAAAGATTGGGAAATGGGCAAAAAGTGATTTGGCTGACTTAAATCTTAATTTTCTTGCTGAATCAGTATGGTAATATATTTTCTTGTGATGAAGATTGTTTGAAAAGGTGATTAAATATATCCCCACTTCGATTTATCAGTATTTTATTGGAGAAAACCAGAATTTAAGAGAATATTTAGAACAAGTATATATAATTCCTCAAAAAAAAAAAAATTACTCCTTTTTTTACATATTGTTGTGTTTTATAGTTAGCCAATCATAATGGAATAGTAGTATATCTAGATCAGGGGTGTCAAACTGAATTTCTTCAAAGGCCGGATCAGCATTGTAGTTCTCCTCCGTGGGCTGGCCGGGGTGGGGGGGAGAGACAGGATGGATCCTTCTCAGCACCCTGCTGGCCAAAATGGGGCATGAGGGGCCCTTTTGGCCAGAGGCACCGCGGGACAGTCCTTTGCTATTTCCCCAGGAGCCAGATTTAAGCGCCCCTGATCTAGATAAACAGTTGAAATACAAATATTAATGCACAAAAATCTTGTTTTGCTTATTTTTTGACTACTTTATTATGGATAAAATTCTACAAAATGTAGAACTATTTTACTAAGCCTTTTTTTTTATTTTATATCTCAACTGTTATAAAGAACATGTTCACACTAAAATAGTATTCTGCAAATGTTGGTCTTTGATCCTGACAAAAGGTCATCATGAAGCTTCTTCTAAATTCCTGAAATAGAAGTTAAAACATGGCCATTGCCTCAGCACTGTCATGTAGGATGTTGTATTGATGTGAGGGAAGCCCCATCCCCCGAAGAATGAAATATTTTGGAAAATATTAAAAAGGCAGAATATTATATTTCCCCAAAGGGAGAAATGGAGAAACATGCTCTTAAAGACAGAAAGCAGACTCAGTTAATACCCCATCCTCAGTGGATATTTTGTGCCCATTAAGAAAGATTGGGCCAGCCTATGTACAAAAGAAAAGACCTTCAGCTCCAGGATGATGGGATGAAGAAGGACAGGACATGATCCTTCAGGACATAATAGGATTAACCCACTACCATTTAGCAGAAGACACAATCTTCTCAGGGCATTTCAGACATTGCACAACCCACCTAGCAGCATTTCTGACACTTACAAAAATCCATGTACTCATCAAACAAATTGGTCAGCTGCAACCAGAACCACAAACTGGTGGTTCTGTTGAGAGGTGGTATTCAGCAGGTTCTGACCAGTTCTAGAGAACGATATTGGAAATTTTGAGTAGTTCGGAGAACCGGCAAATACCACCTCTGACTGGCCCCGACCCTGTCTATTCTCTGCTTTCCGAGCTCCAGCTGATCGGCTGGGTTTTCTTTTGTTGCCCTGCACAGGAGATAGGAGCTGGAAAGCAGGTTAGTATGGTGGGGAGGGAATGGGGATTTTGCAGTAACCTTCCCCCAGGAGTAGGGAGGGAATGGGGATTTTATATTAACCTTCCCCTGCCACGGCCAC